ATTTTACTTATAAGATTGATTAGGCAGGGGTGGAGCACTGCTATTCTCCATTTCTGAGACAGAACCTTTCTTTGTTCCCTATGCAATGCCTGTGAGAGATCTGTCTGCCTATTGGGTACAGCTGATTATACTCAACCAAAACTTCCAGAGGCAGAGTTCTCTGATCTCCAGAGTTCTCTGTGCAGCTTTCTTTTCCCTGGTAATCTATCTTGGGACCTCTAGCTGCCTTAGTCTCCCTGGACTCTCAGCAACCTCTCCTCAATCCAGGAAGTCCTCTTGGATTTCTCTTCCCTATGCCATGACCTAGAAACTAGCAGTAGGGTTCACTTTGTGTATTTCCAGGTCTCATGGATCACTGCCCTTTATTGCCTGATGTCCAATGTCTTGAAAACGTTTACTTTGTATATTTTGTCCATTCGGGGGCTGTTTTAAACAGGAGGGTATATTCAGTCCCAGTTACCTCCTCTTGGCCAGATGTGAAATGCATCTTAAACAGCCCCTCAGATATGGCCAGATGAACATTCTGTCATTCCTGGGAATCTCAGTACGTCTTGATGAAGACTGGGAGATGGTAGCTCTACTGGCCACAGAATACCTAAGGCTCATTCCTGGGTATTCTTTGCGACTTTTCCACCTTAAAACGCCATGGTGTTCACTTAAATGAAAATGTCTGTAAAGAGAACTAATTCATGCACACCCTCTCGCGTCTTGTGTTTATCCTGGAGCCCTTCCCCTGGTAAAAGCATTTAGGGGCTACACCTCACTGCTCCCTTTCTGTCTTCAGAGGACCCCACTGGTCCACCCACAGCCCCACAAGCCTGGATCTGAGGCTGTAGGTGGCCATACTCCGTGCTGGTGGGGATTACTACTAAGTCAGAGCAATGTTCTTTAAGGCCTGAGCACAGCCTCATAAGGAACATCTCACAGGTGGCACCCAGACCACAGTAAGGTCTGCTGAGTTCCCTGGGTTGCATTTCAGATGTATCTGTCTCTCTAGGAGTCTCATGCGACGCTGCCATACCGTAGTCACCAGCACATCCTTCAGTCTAGAGGCCTCTCCTTTGGGTTGCTTGTTGGGGGAACCAGGTAAAAGGCAACCATACAGATTGCTTTTGGACAGAGGACAGTCCAGGGGTCCCTCCCCAGGTCTCTCCTCATCTCAGCTTATCATGTGGGTCTGTCTCTGCTTATCTGGATGTAATGATTATCCTGTTAATGTCAGTAGCAAGCTAGACGAGGAGTGGACAGACACCCTGACCTCAGGAGCCAAATTCAGCAGTTGTATTTTTTAAAAAGTTGATAGAAATAAAACACATTTGATTTCTAAGAAGACATTCATATATGTTCAATTTATCAAACCAAATGGAGCTGACAAGTGTGGGTGTGAGGTGTCCACTTTTTCCTTTCATAGAAGAAATGTTTTATTTTTAGGAACATGCTATTTTCCCCTGCTCTTAGGTAATCTTTGTCTACACATTTATTACCCAAGAGCCTGGGTTGCCCCCCCTCCTGTGTAGGGGAAGCAAGTGGCCTTTTGGCTTCAGCCCCCTTCTGCTTCGGCCAGTCCAGGTACAGATGGCAAGAGGAGGCAGGAAGGCAGGAAAACAGACCTCAGGTTCCTATTCCCCTGACACCAGGGAGCAACCAATCCCTGCCCTTAGTCCCCATGGCTTCATAAGGAGACTCAGAGAAGCAGAGAAATGAGGTCAAGCACAAAGGAGGCAAGGTTTGACCATGAGCATCCGTGCAGAGGGCTGGGCTGGCCTCAGGACAAGCCATCACTGCTCCTGCCCAGGAGAAAGCCAGAGCAACTGCAGGAGGCTGCTGTCTCCCAGCCTTCCACCTCTGACCCTCCTGCTCCTTCTCTCCAAGCCAGAAGGGCACCCAGATGTGGGGTGGTCTTCCTGGGACAGGGAAGAAGGTAGGAAAAACAAACAAAAGCCAATGCCGGTGCCCAGAGAGGCAGAAGGGACCATGCTGGGAGTCAGTTTCTGAGTGTCTGCTCAGGCCCTGGCAGGGGTGTGCACGCAGGGCACACAGCCTGTGCCTGTCAGGAGACCTGCTGGAAGAGGGGGTTCAGGAGGGGTGATGAGTTTGGACAGAGAAGCCAGGAAGCACAGAAACATTCAATTTGTCGCTGTCTACAATCAACAAAGCAGTGAGAGGGATCCTTTAAAAACTTAAGTTAGGCCCTGGCTGGTGTGCTTAGTGGTTAGAGTGTCGGCTGGTGCACGGAAGGGTCTCAGGTTCTGTTCCCACTCAAGGGCATGTACCTGGGTTACAGGTACATGGGCGTGTGCAGGAGGCAACTAATCGCTGTGTCTCTCCCACATTGATGTTTCTCTCTCTCTCCCCCTCTCCTTTCCTCCCTTCCACTCTCTCTAAAAATCAATGGGAAAAACATCCTTGGGTTAGGATTAACAAAAAGCAAGCAAACAAACAAAAAACCCCAACAACTTAAGTTATATTATGTTACTCTTTTGCTCCAAAGCCTCCCATAGCCCTCCACCTCACTCCAAGTAAAACCCAATATCCCGAGGATAGTCTGTAAGAGCTGGCCCCCATGGCCCTCTGGTCTCTGCTCCCTCCTTCCTTCCTCCCTCCCTCTGCCCAGCCCCTGTGGCCCCTCACTGCTCTATGAGCACACCAGCCTCCCACTCAGGGCCACTGAATGTGTGCTTGTCTGGATGTCCTCTCCCCATGTTCCCATGGCTCATTCCCTCGTCTCCTAGGCTCTGTTCAAATGCTCCCCACTCCCACCATTCATCTACCCCCCAACCCCAGCACTCCCACCCCCCTTCCTAGGGCCCATTTTATTCCACACCACTTATTGTAACCTGTTAGCATATTATATAATCCACTTACATATTAGGTTCCTATTGGACTCTCCAAACAGAAGGTAAGCTCCATGAAGGCAGAGTTTGGGTTGTTTATTGTGGAGGGAGAGGCTGTTTGAGAACTGATTTATCTTCCCTGCCTAGAAGAGCACCTGGCACGCAAAAATATTTGCCAGATGAGCTGGCCAACTGAAACAGAGACCTTTCCACGGGGCACAGAGAGACCCAGCCCCACACAGGGACGTAGAGCTCTGTTTAGGCGTTTGAGCCTCTAGGACAGACAGGGGCTGGGAGGCCTATAGCCAATGGCCAACGTGAGGCGCTCATAAATGTCTGGGCAGTAACTCTTTAAAAAAAATTTTATTGTGGTAAGAACACTTAACATGGGACCTATCCTCTTAACAGATTTTTAATTGTTGTAATTCCTTTTTTTTTTTTTTTTAGTAAATCGATGGGCCCATTGTCCTGTAGGCACATAATTGGGGCACAAGAAAACAAAAACTTGCTGATCTGACTTCACTAAAAAGCCTGGGATGTTAAGAAACCCAACCAAGTGATGGGTTATCACACAGACAAGAAGGGCGCTGTCAGCTGGGTTTCCGGAGTTGGCAGCATTCCCGCACCGCCCTCGCTCTTTCCTGTGTGGAAGCCAGTGGGTCTACTTAGCAGCCCCGCCCCGCTCCAGCCAGGTCCCCGAGGCACGAGGTGGACCACTGTCTTAGAGCCCTTTACGCGGGACTTGAGGAGTGAGCAGTGCACAGCTTGCAGCCTCCACCTGGAGCCAGAGACAAGCCCTGCGCACGCACACACATGCCCTGGCACGCAGCTGTGAGACGCGGGGCGGGGGAGGGCCAGGAGTCCCCCATGACATGCATGTGCGGAGGCTGACGGCCCCGAACACCTGTCCGAGGCGGAGACAGTGGAGACAGGCGGTGGGAGAGAATGAGGTCCAATGAGGTCAGAGGCAGAAGAGAGAGGCGACAGGACATGATCAACAGACGATGAACCCTGCACCCAGGGCCGCTAGATGGCATGTTCCGGGAGACACAGGACATGGAGAGAGAAAGATGTGAGGAGCTTGGCCTGAGCCAGCTCCACCTGGCAGGAGGCCCTGTGCCCAGACCAGCCTAGAACTTACCCACTCAGGACCATGCCCAGCGCCACAGGTGCCCGCACAGGAGCACACGTGTGAATGGCTGGGGACTAGCATTAAACTAGGAGCTTGGGGAGCAGAAACAGCGCAATGCAGCTGTCCAGGGTGATAGTAGGCACCAGAGGACGATAGTTCACAAAATTAAACATTGTTTTTCAGGGTCTGTAAGGAATCTGAGGGATCTAACCCAATTGCTGATTTTAAAGAAGAGACGATGACAGCCGCACCTGGAGTCAGGAGGGGAGAGGGACTAGAACCCAGCCCCCTGCTCCCACCACAGAGCAGGTCTCTGCTCTGCCTCTGTGCCCACGGCTAGAGGAGGGCAGCTGTAGGGCCGGGAGTGGGAGTCTCTGGCCCGCTCCTTCATGCGCTGGCTCCTTCCACGGCTGCTGAAAGGAAAGTGGTCCTCAAGAGACAGCAGTGGGAGTGCTGAGGGCAAAGGTCACCCCCCCCAGGGGCCTGGTCACATTGGGGGCTCCTGTGCATGCTGAACCACATCACAAAGAGTGAGGGGGAATAGGCGGGGTGAGGAAAAAGGGAGAGAGAGAAAAGGAGACATTGGACTCAAAGAAAAGTAACCTGCTTAGCCTCACGGGGGGGCTGCAATAAATAGGACTTTTAAAGTAGCACCCAACTAATCCACATCAGAGCCTGGGCCAGCAGCTCCATGCCCTTTGCTCCTCAGCTACTGACTGTTTTACACATGGGGACACGGATGCCCAGAGAGCGCCCGGGCCTGGTGCAGAGCTGCACAGAGGACGTGCGACCTGTAGGGGCAGGAGTCCAGCAGCTGCCCCAAACTCTTCCACTAGGACACCAGGTCCCCCTGGCAGCCTGCTGCTGGGGTAGCGTGGCCTGTCTCTCTTGCTCACCTTTTCCTCACCACCCTGGGGAGGGAGTTGTGGAGACAGACCTCCCACCCACGGGGGAGATGGTTTCATGAAGAGTCTCTGGCTGGAGGCTGGGAGGCCGGCTTGGCCCAGCCCCACCTCCTCACAGGGGACACTCACCATTCATCTGGGAGGGCGAGGAGGAGTAGTCCCGCTCCGTGTGCCGCCGGTCCGGTTTCAGATTGCGGCTTTGTCTGCCAGAGCCTTCCAACATGTTCACGATCTCGCTCCGGTCAATGTTCCGCAGGGCGGCGTACAGGTTCTCCACTGTCGGGGAGAAGGAAAGAAGGGCTTGCGAGGGAATTCTGATGGGTGCAGGGCAGTGCAGAATGCCTCGGGGCTCTGAACACCGGGAGAGGGAAACGGGAGATGGGGGGAGGTGGTTTATTTTTTCAGAATGTGGAGGCATTCCTCTTTGGTCAGAATCAAAGCCAACTGCCTCTGTGGAGAAGATGTCCTTATCCTTTAATAGATCTAGTCCAGTCCCTAATAGTGGCCAATTACAAAGCCTGGAAAGACTACTGTCATTTAAGAAGAAAACTACAAGAGAAGGAGCGTGAGAATAGTTAAAATGCTTGGTCCTGAGAATGCTGTATCTCAGGGCCAGTGGACTTGAGATGCAAATGGAAACACTCCATTTCCTCTTAGTGGTTTTGACTACGGGAATTTGGTTGAGGAGGAGCTGAAAAGAGTGAGACAAATCTTCCCCCAGGTTGGAGGAAAAGAGGCTTCTGGGAGGAGGAGGAGGACAGGCTTCGCTCACCCGTGCTCTGTCCCCAGAGGACGGTCCTCATTTGTTTGAGAAATTCAACAGGAAGTCACATACCCTACACGTGTGCTGCTACCTAGGGGTCCTGGTGCAACTGTCATTGACTGTGAGGACGGGGGCAAGCTGGAGGCCAAGGTTCTCTGGTTTCCTCTTCTGGCGGATTGCCCAGAAGACCCAGTGAGCCCGAGAGGTGTGTGTGTGAGAGGGACAGAGTGCAAAACAGATCGGATCCGAAGGCTAACATGAAACATGGATTCTGAAAGCAGAACTACTGTGGAGAAGACTAGGTCCTGGCACAGGCTTTGGACAGAGAGGCGTCCTCAGCTTAATGGTACTGACTCTTGGCGTTTGTGCCTTCACGGATGACCCAGAGGTTCAACAAGGCTGCGCTCTGCTCCAACAGCGAGTTGGGGTTTTCTACGCGGATCCTGTTGATGTCTTCCACGCTGAACTGCAGCTCCCGGGCCAGCTCTGCAAGCAAAGAACAAGGCCCGGTGTGAGCCAAGCCGGAGCTGGGCTCCAGCGCCCAAGCACCTTTGGATTGGATATTCCTTCTTACCGAGAAATACCAAGTGAAATCTAAGATGACCAGGCAGCCTCTTAGAAAGGTTAGCAACTTATCCAAGGTCACAGAAGCTGGTGCAGAGCCAGGAGTGGGCCGAGCCTGCGGACGCCCACTCCAGGGCTGTCTGTATGGCACCAGGAGGCCACTCACATTCCACCAGGAAGCAATTAGAATGGCAATGCATTCCTGTGGTTACATTTCTTCAGGGAAAGGCATTATTTACATTTTAAATGAAAATACAAGTTCCCCTCTAAAAGCCAGGCAATAACACAGAATGTTCGCCTATTTTCCTTCCCATTATTTTTATTGTTATGTCTCACAGGTGCTTTAGAAGGGAGAGCAGCCTCAGAGTCTAATTTCAAGGATGAGAAAGACCAGAGGGAAAGTTACAGTGAGAATCAGAAGGTGCCTGTAACACACACACACACACACACACACACACACACCTTTTGAGAATCGACATTCTTTTTTTTTTTTTTTTTTGGCTTAAAGAATGAAGTCTCTGAATTCCTGTTGTGGACCTTGGTCACACTGCCCTTCAGCAAGTTCTTGCTTAGGTTTCTGAGTTTGTCTGAAGCCCTTCTGCAGGGGGACTGAGGAGGCCTATTATTATAAAATCTCACCCAAAGACGGGGGAGAATTCAGTTATTGGGCCTATGACTATGTAAAGCACGTTTGGAGCTTTCACTTTATTTTGCCCATTCTTCACTTCAAATGTGACCCACCCTTATTGTTGACAAGACATGGGGTAGATTTCAGCGACTGCCGGAGATTGTAAATGAAAAATGTTGAGATTTAGCCTTTAATTCCCCTTTTCCCTCAGCAACACCAGCCTGTGAGGAAAGGCAATGAGAAGTGTGTAGGGGGCGGTGGACAGGCCGCCAGGTGACCTAGCTTTTGCTCGAGTGTTTGTTATTTGTTTGCTGGGTTTTCTGGGCTCCGTCCCTAACTAGCTACATATTTAAAGTCACTCTATTTAGTGGGATCTCCGTTTTCCCATCTGTAAAATGAGGTGAACTAGATCAGTTCTAAGGCCTCTTGTAATGTCAAACATTGATTCTTTCTTACAGAGGAAATCCAGATAGAAATGGGAGAGAGAGAGGGAGCACCTGCCTTTCTATTGGCCCCAAAGGTGTTGCTTGGGCAACAGACCTACCCAAGACAATCACAACACAATGGATGGTAAAAAGAGGTTTAGAAATGCTTTCGTCAGGTGCTCATTAGGGGGAGGTGTACACAGGCAAAGTGCTTTTTCTACCTCAAACTCCCTGGCTCACCTGCCCAGCTGAGACCCAGGTGTTCGGATATAATGGCCATCTTCATGTCTGCTCGGTCCGTCCCACTGAGAAAACCTGGGGAGAAGCATGGGATTTCATTGAGTAGCCTCGGCGGGACACAGAATCGACAGGGGTGAGTCAATGACCTCAGGTGGGTGCCCATGTCAGGGGTGAACCTCAGTGTGCACCAGGTTAATGGAGAACCCTGGAAGGGTCAGGAGGAGACCCAAGCCAAAGGCTCCACCTGCTGTGTTTATAACATATCAACCTGACACCTGCTGCGTCAGTCATATCAACAGGGACCTGCTGTGAGGGTGAGAGGAGTGGGCTCACTCACAACCTCCTTGGAAAAGGTAGCGGGCACATAGCATGCCAGGGAGGTGTATACCCAGTGTGGATTCGCTGAGAATGCTGTATCTCAGGGCCAGCGGTGTCAGAGTCCGTCTCCTGTCATCGGCTCCGCCCCCCTGCAGAAGGACGACAAGGAAAGGGTGCTGTGGGTTTCAGGCTCTCTCCCTTCTTGGAGAAGGGAATTCAAGCCTATAAGCTGTCGGGTAGAGAACAGTAAGACTCCAACTTCTTTGGAGCCTGAACACAAAGAGTAGAAGTGTGGGAGTGAGAGGGTGTTGCTAATCCGCACATAATTTAATAATGATGATAGTAATCTATAATAATAAAAGCACAATATGCTAATTAGACTAGACGTCCTTCTGGATAACCTTCTGGACAAAGCCGGGGCTGTGAGGGAAGCCCGGGTCCCGGGTGCCAGAGGGAAGCCAGTGCCAGTAGCCGGGGAAAGAAAGGCCTACTCTTGCACGAATTTCGTGCATTGAGCCTCTAGTGATAATAATATTAATAACAGTAATAATGCCTAGCTGATGTGGCTCAGTGATTGAGCATCAACCCAGGAACCAAGAGGTCACCAGTTTGATTCCCTGTCAGGGAACATGCCTAGGTTGTGGGCTCGATTCCCAGTAGGGGACGTGCAGGAGGCAGCTGATCAATAAAGTTTCTCATTGACGTTTCTACCTCTCTTTCCCTCTCCCTTCCTTTCTTTTTAAAAATTCAATAAAAAATATATATATTTAAAAAATAATAGCAATAATTACAAACCCGCGAGGCCCTTATCATGTTCCAGGCCCTGTGTAATCCTCACAATGACCATGTCATCGATGAGGAAACAGGCACAGACAGACTGAATAACTTGTGCAAGCTCACTCAGCTAATAAATGGTGAAGCTGGGGTTTGAACTAAAAAAAGAGAGGTTTTCTGGATTCCTTTCTGCTCAAAAGACCCACTTGTGACACTGGTCCGAGGTCTAACGCCATGGAAAAGCACCCCGATGCTTGCTCAAGGATGCAGGAATTCTATTTTGAAAGAGAAGTTGGCTTCCCCTGGTCCCCAGACAGGAAGGAGAATTTGAGCCACAGATGCATGAGTGTAACCTTGCTGCTTTTCTATTTTGGCAGGGAAGGCTGATTATTAAAACAATACCAGCAAAAACATGGAGACATATGATCACTCCCAAGTCCCTGTGACATATGCTGACGCGGACACCCCTACGGATTTCAATAAGCGGCCATACTTGGTTAAGATGCCTTTGCTGAGCTCAAAAACCTGGATGTTTGCACTGGCTGAGACACCAGGGATCCCTTCTCTGAGGGCCTGCCTCCCTGGGGAAGCACCTGAAAAAGAGGCTCAAAAAAAGCTATCAAATGGCTGGGTGACCTTGAGCAACTCAATGCCCAGTTCTAAGCCTCAGAGGCCTCAAGCGAGGGGTGCCAGGTAGATGCTTTTCAGGTTCCTTCGAACCTCCTCGAAGGGACTTAGTCCCTAGGGTGAACACGCAGATTGCCACCTGACACGGATGTTTTGTTCCTGAGATTTGCAGAAAGGGCCAGGCCTGCTGTCCCTGCCAGGCCACAGCCAAATGTCAGAGGAGACCGAAGAGCCTTCCCGAGGCTCCCCGAGCCTCAGGGAATTCAAAGGCAGCTTTTCAACAGGGGGAAGCCCTTTGGAAGTGGTCGACCTACGACCTCCTCAGGGACCCCACCTCTGGCCCAGCATCCGCCTCAGGGGGCAGCTCACCTTGGTGCAGGGGGGCATGGTGATGTTCAAGTGGCAGAGGATGTGCTGCGTGTCCTCGTACTTCATCGCCTTGCGCAGGAACGACAAGGACCCTCCTGGTTCTCGGCTGCTGTCCCTCACCTAAATCCAATCACACAGAGGGGACTCAGGGGGGCGTTCCACAGGCCACGAGGTTGGCCGAGAGATTTCTGCCTCCCCAGCTTTCTAGACCCGGAAGCGAGGTCGGCACCTTCACAGGAATGGCCAGACGGTTCTCCCGGAATGACTGGAACTGGAAACTCCGCTGCTGGGCAGCTTTTTTGACGGGCACCAGGTTCCCGGAGAGTTCTGCGAACAGGGGCGTCCCCTCCAGCACCTGCAGGGAAGGGAGAGCAATCCAGCTGTCACATAGAAGCACCCAGATGTGCGGTCCTGCCTTCAGCTCTGGCCATTCCTCCCTCGAGACACACCCCTCCTACAGCACCAGGTGCAGGTCTGCTCTGGGAAACCACTGTCGGTTTGGGAAAAGGTTATATTTCCAGGTTACGCTTTCTTACTGGAAAGGGTTTTACTGCAAGCAGGGACCTTCATGCATTCCTGTGTGGCTGACCAGGATTGCTGTCAGGGTGCCCTAGAGCCCCACGAGGATATCACAAAATGACTTCTGAAAAAACAAACCGGTTTTCACACCCGTCCAAAATGTTTAGTGTATGCAAAGTGCTAGAAGGACCATGCAAGTTTGTTTTTGTTTGGTTTTTTGTTAATCCTCACCAGCCCCATTTATTTCTTAGAGAGCATGGAGGGGAGAGGGAAAGACAGAAAGAGAGAAACACTGATATGAGAGAGACACATCGATTGGTTGCTGCCCACCAGGGCTGGGGATCGAGCCTGCAAACCGAGGTATGTGCCCTTGACCGGAATCGAACCCAGGACCCTTCAGTCCGAGGCCGACGTTCTATCCACTGAGCCAAACCGGCTCGGGCCCAGGCGACATTTTAATCTCACCCCTAACATAAGGGGCCCTACTGTGTATATACTGCTTTCAATTGACCCCATTGGACAGTTGAGGAAATTGAGGCCCAAACAGAATAAATGCTTTGTCTAGTTAGTTCTTTCTTCTAGGCCGTCAGCCACCCACAAAGGCTCAGCACAAACTTCAAGACCAGACTTTTGGGAAGGTCCTGGCTTATCACACATCTTAACATGAGCCAATATCCTGGGGCCAGTGGCAGGTTCCAATCCAGTCATCATCTGTCGCGCCCTCTCCCCTGCTTCCTCATCTGGACGCTACCAAAACCCTAGCACAGCAGGTCAGAGTGTGGGTTCTGGGGTTAGTCTACTTGGACAAATCCTTTCCCGACTGTTTACTTAGTTATGTGACCTTAGATAGGTTACTTAACCTCTCTCAGCCTCAGTCTCCTCATCTGTAAATTGGGGATAAAAGTACACACAGTTTTGAGAATCAGGTGAGATTATGCTAGTCAAGCACTTTTACTATTAGCTGGTACCTAAGGACTTTAACAAATGTCAGCTCTCATCATCACAAATCACTGGGCCAACAATGACGTTCCTCACCTTCAGGTGCTTCTCAAGAGGGGCATCAAAGAAACAGCCCAGGCCCTACCAGGTTTGGCTCAGTGGATAGGGTGTCGGCCTGTGGACTAAAGGGTCCCGGGTTCAATTCCGGTCAAGGGCACATGCCTGGGTTGTGGGCTTGACCCCCAGTAGGGGGCGTGCAGGAGGCAGCTGATCAATGATTCTCATCATTGATCTCTCTCTCTCTCTCTCTCTCTCTCTCTCTCTCTCTCTCTCCCTTCCTCTCTGAAATCGATCAAAATATATTTTAAAAAAAGAGACAGCCCAGGAAGCCTACCCCCATCACCAAGAAAGGATTTCCCGTCTCACCGTGGAAAGTGAGCCGGCCCTCGAGTGCCCAGTGACAAAGGGGTGCGGTGCTTACCTCTATGTCCCTGCTCCGGGCCACCTCAACGAAGTTCTCGTGATGCTCGAGGGTCTTGTCCACCTTATCGTCCGTCATACAGTAGCAGCGAAGCCCGCCCTTCTCGCGGGTCATTCATCTTGGCAAAAATGACAAACTTGGCCATGTAGGGCACCGCGGTCAGCTCCTTGTACAGCAGGGTGGCGAAGTTCACGGCCTCAGCCGTCCGAGGACAGTCCGACAGCCAAAACCTGAAAAGAGAGGGCTAAGTATAAGCGCGTTCCTAAATGCCCGATGGAGAGCTTCATTGCCACCCAGACAGGAGTGACCTGCAAGCCATGCCATGGCCTCTCTGGCACTCCTGGTGGTCCCTGCAGGGCTTCGATGTGGAGGACACTGAGGTTCAAGCCTGGGATGGGCAGGTGGGGGCATGAGGGTGGCTACCGGCAGGGGCAGCGCTGATTCCTCCTTGCAGGGCCCGGAAGTCCCCTGGGCTGGGACGCGTCTCACCTGGCAGAGACGTTGGTGGTGAAGGTGGCACACTCGTTGGCATATACAAGCTTGGTTGTTCCTGTTATATCTTCCCACTGGGCTTGGTCTGTTCCTCCTACAACAGGACCAGAGAATGGGCTGGGAGACAGTCTTCAGAACACAGACACAGAGCTTGCCAAAGCAGGGAGGCCAGTGTGCAGGGCAGAGACAGGCATATCTGGTGAAGCCCTGAGCACACCTGTTCTCTCATACTCTCCTCCCCTGTTCTCCCATACTCTCCTCCCCTGTTCTCCCATACTCTCCTCCCCTGTTCTCCCATACTCTCCTCCCCTGTTCTCCCATACTCTCCTCCCCCTCCTCCTAGCGACCCACAGACCCCTTCCCAGAACAGCCAGGGATGCTTCCACGGAAGGCGTGGACTCTACTCAGATGCATCACCCCTCCATCCCTTTGGAGAGCACCTCACTAGGCCAAGCCAATAAAATGCGAGACGACGGCTATCTTTGCCTTCTCCTGTCTCCCCCTGGAGTGGCTGGAAGGAGGACAGGAGACAGGCCAGAGGCCAGGGGTCACCTCTCACCAATGACGCTGCAGAGCAGGCGCAGGCTGGTGGTGTCTCCCTCCCCGCTGTCCCGTGGGTTGTCCGTCCAGGAAGGAGGGAGTGGGATCCGCAGCCCGATGGGCCGGTGAAATTTCCGGCGCCTGGGCTCCACGGTGACAATGGGGCTGAACGTGGCCTGGTTGCCCAGGAGTTTGGTGACAAGCTCATCTGGAACAGGCTGGGCCTGCGAAGGGCCGAACAGGGGACACTCAGCCCCAGAGCCTCAGAGGGGCTCGTGGACAGGAAACAGCACAGTCCCCAAGGGGAAGGCGGGCTGTCTCTACGGAGTGGAAAGGTGGGACCCAGGGCTGCCCAGGGCTGACATCACTGCTTAGCTCTCCTTTCTGAGCCCTTTCTTGCCATTTCCCTGTGGCTCCTCATTGCCGGGATGGTACCCCCCAGGAGGCCACGTGGGTTAATGCCTTATCCGGGACATTCAGCAACTTCACAGGGAGCTGTTGCCTGATCCCACCCACCCAACTGTCTTTTGAGCTTTAAGGTCAAATCTCTAATGAAACTTTCAGGCCCTGGACAAAAGTGTGGGGGTGAGGGTCGTCTTCCTGAGGGCCTTGAACACTTTCTACCTTTCATGAACTCTGTCGGGGTGCGGTAGGGGCAGGGCAGGGGGCGCCCCATCGGGTGAGGAGGAGGCCATGTCACCTGCAGAGCCAGCTTCACTCTCTTGGTGACGGCGTTTTCTGGGAAGGTCGCCTGCACCAGGGGCACCAGCTTGCTCTTTAGAGAGCCCCCTTCAGGGCCGATGGTGTCGTAGTCCTGGCAGAGCCGGGACATGATCACGAAGTACAAGGGGAAGTCCGTGGTGATGATGCGGCACACCCGCTTCTTCTCCAGCTCCTCCAGACTCCCCAGTTCTGGAACCACAGGGCACGGTGCCCTTAGCCCCGGCATGCTGAGCCCAGGCTCAGCCCCACCATGTCCCAGAGCCCCCTCAGCACTGCTCTCTCCGGGGGCAGGCCTCCACCCAGTGGGGGGCCTGGGAGGGGGGAGGCTGGGCTGTGGGAGGGAGAAATCCCTGCAGCCAGAAGGTCAGGCAGAAGGAGATGCAGGTGGCACATAGGGGTCAGTTTGCCGACCACTGCCCTAGGGACCCGGAACTGCACTAAATGGGCCCTCTGCAGGCTCTCGGGGCTCTCCAAACTCCAGGCGGCCAACAGCCCACCCCCAAAGTCCAGCCTCAAATGCCATCTTCCAGAAGGAAGGCGCCTGGTCTGGGGCCTGTGGGGCTCAGTTACCTTCGTCCATTCCGTTGAGGATCTGGTCCAGGTAGCTTTCTCCGTAGCGGCTCTTGTGTTCCTTCCACACGGAGCCGTTTTCACTCCGCAGCACCACGAGCTCGCGATCCCCGCGGCCATGGGAGGCGAAGTGGGGGATCTCCACAATCACAGGGCTGCGGGCACAGAGCGCATGGTGGGGAGGTGTGAGGACTCAGGCGTGTGCGCCTTGTGGCCAAGGGAGGGAAGAGGGGGGTGTGGGGCATCTGGTTCCTGCCTGGAGGGAGAAGGGGTCCTTTTGGCACAGTGGGGCCCCACCTATGGGCAGGTCCCGACTGTGGAACAGACCTGCCTCAGGTTCCCGAGCCACCCATGGCCCCTGTCGGTCACCACCAGGCAAACAGCTCTGCCCTGGAGCCCGCCTGGCATCTCTGCATAGCGCCTCTCGGAGCCCCGGCTTCCCACCAGCACAGCGATCATGACGGGAGGCTTTCGGGACTACACTCAAAGGGGAATCAGCACAGAGGCCTCTGTGGGCTGCTTTACAAGTGGTGGATGAGAGCTTGGGGTGGAGACAGGGAGTGGACAGAGATGAGAAGGCAGGGCCTCCTGGGCAAGACCTGTCCCCACGCGCCAGCTGCTGCCAGCCGCCAGCCGTGGTGCCTGAAGAATAACAAAGCTCCGGCAGAAGCCCCGCCTGCCGCAGACGCAGACGAGGTGAGGAATGAATGGGCTTCGAAGCCCATTGATCTTGCCAGCCATGGGGTGAGGCTGTAAAATTGTCTTAGTCCAGTAAGACCATTTTGAAGCTGAAATAATTAAACCCTGGGGGGGGGGTCCCCAAAGTAGCTCTGTCTTCCCGTCCCTTCTCTAGTGTCATACGGGGTTGGAGAGTATTGAGCTCCACCCGGGCTGTGGACTCCTTCGTGTACCAGGAGCAGGCAGTTAAAGGGGGCGGGGGCTCAGGGTGCTGCTCCTGTCAGGACAGCAGAGAAATGAGATGATGGGGGCACCAGGCTCGTCCTCTCTCTGCCCTGTGGCGGATGGCTCTGTGGTTGCTGCCGAGGTGACCGTGATGGACCCACAGGGCAGGGACAGGTTAGGGGCACCCTGCACAGAGAGGCCTCGAACCTCAAGAACTGAGCCCCCGTGGGCCCCAGCGCGATGATCCTGCTGGCCAGGCCCTCCTCCTCGGCCAGCGGGGGCGGCGTGCTCAGCTTCTGCGGCTTGACCAGGCGGCAGGTGATGCGAGTGGGTGCCGCACACGTCCGAGGCGGGATCACCACCCGCAGGCCGTTGTGCCGACTCCCTCTCATGGAGCCTCCCCGGGCGTCCACCATGAAGCTCACCAGAAACCTAGGGCACAGGCAGATCCGTGTTGGGTATCCACGTGCTCCCTCCGAGACAGGGAGCGTGGGGGTCCAGTCCCTCGCAGGGGCCACTCACCCTGTGTGCACGGGGCTGGCCACCGGGCTGATGTTGTCTGAGGTCTCTGTGGCCGGGCTGCTGGGGATGAGTGAGTCTTCATCATACTCTTTAGATGCCTGAGGAGGAGGAGAAGGACAACTGTCTTAGCCCCTCCCAGGCCACAGGTGCTGGTCTCGGGACCGCCGATGCTGAGCCCGGCTGGGGAGGCTCAGGAGCACCTCCTCGCCAGTAACCACGGAGACCAACGGAGGAAGTGCACCCACAGGCTCACTGCCGAACCTGTGGGTGCAAGGCGTGCCTGGAGTCAAAGGAAGCATGGCCACTCCTCGGCTCACGACCCTGGGACGGAGTCTCGGAACGGACGGAGCAGGTCCTCCCTCCAGTCTGGCTTCAATCTTAGGTCCTGTGCCCACTGCTGACCTACCCCCCTGTTCTCCAGCTACACCCCAGCCTGAAACCTCTGCTTGAGGTGGCTTGGTTTTCACACTAGAGTTGGCAACAGACCCTGTACCATCGCCTACTCGTTCTTTAGTTCTGGGTGAGCTCCTTGTCCTGTAGGCACCTGAGGTACACGAGGTGACTGGAACGGACCAGTGCCCTTGTGTGTGTGTGTGTGTGTGTGTGTGTGTGTGTGTGTGTGTGGCGGTGGGGGGTGGGGGTGACGGACGGGCAGCTTCCTGTTATCTCATCTACAAATGGGACAGACCCTGCCTCACAGTAATGCTGCAACTATAGGTCATGGGGCTGCCGCACACAAGGACTCTGAAAGCCATCAGGGCCTGGACCTGTCTCCATCCCCTCCAGGCCTATTCTCCTCTGCTCTGCTCATGCTTTCCCACAGGTGCAGACGCCCTTGTCCCTCTCCTTCACTCTTCACTTTTCATGTCTCGCCCCCTCCATCAATTTTTCCCTTTGAGTCTGATCTGGAAAAACTCACACCACACTGTTGAGCACCTGGATATTTACGCTTCCCTCATTTTGTGCTAAATGGTTTCATGTAGCTGAGTCCACCCTTGCCGGTTGGACCATCAGCTCCTACAAGGCAGGTCTGGGTCTCCTAGTCTGCCATCCGGCCCTATGCAGGGCACACAGTAGGACTCCAGCAACACCTGCTGATTTTGAGGAGTCGTAGAGAATGGGTTGGTCAAGAAAGAGCAGGACACAGCTCCACCAGCTGCTTTTGTTGATCTGGGCAGCACCCAGGGAGTGTGCCCCAGCAGGACCAGGGCCGTATCTGACCATGTCCCCCAAATGCCACCCAATGAGTGACACCAATATCCGCCACCACAATACACCTAGCCTAGAATGGACAGCTTCACAGCCACGTGGGGCCAGGGCTATGGCTATGGCTGCTGCACTTAGACACACCTCCCGTCAGGGGCAGTGGAAGAGACCAGGCTTTGTGGGACACAGACACCCCTGGCTCAGTTATCAGGCCTCAGGCTGTCATTTCCAACCTCAAACACCACACTGCTTTCTTTTTATGCTAGAAAAACCCCTTGTTCTGGGGGGGGCGGGGGGGGGGGGCGGGAAAGAGTGCCAATGGCATAAAAGTAACCAAGGGGAAATGAAATTGTTTTAAACCCTCCGACCCTTGTTGAAGACAAATTCAGATGCCATCCAGGGAGCCACACGGTAGGGTACTGCAATGAGTAATATCCCAGTGGGAACAATCTTTCTGACACCCTCTTCTATTCCTATTGGTATTTTAAGCTCCCAGTAATCCCTTAAGGAAGGCGAGGCAGAAACTGCTCCCTTTTCACTGATGTGAAAGAAAAGGAGCGCAGGGTTCTGTGACGTGCCCGAAACTTCGCTGTAGAGGCAGGTGCAGCCTCGGGCTAGCTCTCCAGCACCGTGACCTGCTGCCCCCATGGCTGCAGAGAGCGCATGCGTGCACCGGGGTCGGGACCGTAAGAACATGGGCCTTTGAGCTGAACTTCTGGCGTCAGTTCTCAGCCTTGCTCATGACTGAACCAGCGTAATGGTGTTTCCCACGCCCGTGGGCTCTGCGAGACGCCATGTCAGTCACGTCTGGGATAATGAGGACACTGACACCCCAGGGGCTACGAGGAGCAGTAGAATCTCGGATCTGAGGGCTCGGTAAATGCTACACGTGTTTCAACTGTTAGCTCCTCTCGTACCCCAGGTCATCTCGAAGCAATCATTGTCCCGGGGGTCTCTGCTCGCCACAAAATGAAAACAAGAGAAAGGATGCTTCTTACCTGCTCTGGCTCTTCAGATCTGATCACCACTGTCTCAGGTGTGACACAGGGAATCCTTGGGATGGCTGGAGATTCCACCCTGTGCACCAAGACAATTGGAAAATCAGAGACGATCCTTCCAAGTGGTCCCCCTTCTTCCATGGGAGGCCTAAGTGAAACACCTCTGTACCCCATAATAACTACCCAGTCTGCTCCCTCACCACAGCCTGGACCCGCCCCCCCCCATTTGCACATGCAATACAACTCAGCCTCCACCACTGACCAGCTTCCTCCCTTCGCCTCAAAGCCTTTCCCCAGAGCCCCACTGTCCCTCACGACATCACAGAAGGGCCCACCTCCTCCAGGGATCCTCCCCACTCTCATCAGCCCAGTTCTTAGCCTCAGAGCCCTTGTTGACAGAACCCTCGCTCTGGCCTCCACACCTTATTCTGCATTGCTATATGACCTCTGGGTGTGTGTTGATCCTACCAAATAAATCTGTAGTTTCTTTATGGCCAGGGGCCAAGTCTTGTACTTCTTTCTAAGTGATGTTCAAAAAATACGAATTGATTACATATCCTTGTTGTTTCACTTCCTGCTTGTCCCACTGTCCTGCTTTGTATAAGCCACGGGACTACGCTGGCACACATCTGTCTGTCCAGAAAATGCTGAGAGCTCAGTGTTTCCACACAGTGGTCTCTTCTAGATTCATTTGTAGAAAATCCCCGTGTGCTAATGTGCCCACAGCAAAGTAACTCGCAGCGTCACAGGGAGGAGTGAGAAATGTGTTCCGGGCAGAGACAGCCTCTCTGTGGGTTTTCCCTAATGTGTGGAAGGATGTGGTCAGTGTTAGAGCTCAGGCACCAGTTTCTAATGTGAATTTTCTCAATGGATTTTTCTGGGTGAGAAACAGTATGTGAGAGGGAGAAGGGGTGTGCATATGAGACTGTGAATGAGGGAGGCAGAGGTATCGGAAGAGGAGGGAAGACACCCCCAGCCAATATGCTGTAAGGGAGGCCTCCATGTCCCCACTTGATGCTCAAGCTACCGAGTTAATTTATCCTAAGGTGCTGGACCACAGTCCAACCGATCAGCAACTATATCCCTGTCAGGGGCACACCCAGGGGCTGGCCTTCCAGTGACTTTTCTCTGCTCTGAGATCCAGGGCAGGACCTCGGCCATCCACGGGATGGGCACTTCTTACACTTGATCCAGCTTCGGCACAAAATCCAGCAGCTCTTTCTCTTCATCTACATCCCTGGAGTCCTGCCTCTCAGCCCTGGAGCCGACGAGTTCTTCTCCTGAAACCACACAAGTTTAAGTGAGTGACGGAATGGAGACTTCCTCTTTCTTTTAAACAAGTGCTCTGCCTGGTCCTCAGTGCCGAGGAGTGGAGGAAGGCTCAGATGATTGAAGGGGACCATTAGCAACGTCTTTGACCAGCCCTGTTCCTCCAGCCCTGGTACCCAGAGCAGGGCGGCAGCTCCTAGCATCTTAGTCTGTACCAGTCTTTGTAGAAGAAAAAAAAATACAACCAGAAAGAACTTTTTTTTTTGGGTTGGCAAATTCCATTTCCAAAGAGCCCTTGTAGAGTGTGCAGTGACACCAAAGAAAGGGCTGCTTCTGTTCTTTTCCACTCCACACACCGCAGAAGCACAAGCTACCACGGAACTGCACCCGTTCGTTCTGAAGGGCTGAGGGGTTCTTGTAACCATGGCAGGTGGAGCCTCACTACTTCCTCAACCCGTCACCACAGGTTCACACTCTGCCTACAACCCAGACTGCCTCTCCGTTTCTCTTTCCTGGCTTGCACTGGAGTCGGAGCCCTCGACTCTGCAGTGTCATCTGCTGTCCCTTAGCAGTGAGTGTCCTGACTCTGTGATCTGGAGCTGACAGAATGAAATACAACAACAGCTCATGCAGTTATGATCACAAACACAGTGGCATGGGCACAGACACAGAGATGGACAGGCGGGAGCTCCCCGCCAGGGCATGGATCTTATGGGTGTACATTTCCTGTTTTAGTCAAAGCTCCCGGCTCCGGAGTGTTAGCCGCCAGAGGAGGGTGGAAAGCAGGAATGGATTAGTGAGAGCTTGGATTGCTTGGGGTGAAATGCACTGTGAGAAAGGACCACAGGGAACAGAAAGTGTTTCATACCCATTATAGATATATGAGCGGTTCCTGGAAAGCAAAGAAGAGCCAAGTTTAAGAAAGGACAGGATTGCAGTCAGTTAAAGCGAGAGGCATATCACCACAGGGGACACAAGCACAGCTTTAATCATCTAGTGGCAAAGTTATTCATTCAAGGGCCAGAGAGATAACCCAGTCCAGTCCAACTACTGACATCCGAGGGTTTTTTTCCTACAAGAACCTGGTTCACAGAAGTTGAAAATGGACATACCCCCAAACTTTCTGACCCCTGAGGAGGTCAGAAGGGCAGCTTATTAAACAGATTCATACAGATTTTAAAATAAACAGCTTGTTGTTTGCTCAAGGAAAGCACCAGGCAGAACTTGATGGCAGTTCTTTACAGCTCTGATCATTGATCTGAGTAGAATCATAGTCTATGCATAATATATGCAAACACATATTTATGAAACGTCATGGGATGTTGTATTTTAATCTCCAAGATGTAGATTTTCCTTCTAAAAAATTACATTAATGAAGTATTTCTGAGGGCAGAGAACATCTTTGAAAAGCAGTTTCTCTCTGGTTTCAGTTCAGGCCAGAGGTGCTGTGCTGTGCCATAGGGACACACGCCTGAGTGGGCCGGGAAGCACTCGGGGAGGCTCAGAGCCCACGTGTCCCCCGACTGTACCCCGACTGATGTCAATTCCCAGACTTTACCTTCATCTTCAGAAACATCCAGGATCTCATCTACTGTCTCAGGGAAACTCATCCGGTGCTTGTCACTGACTAACTAAAATGAGAAAAAGCAGAGAATTCAACCCAAATAGAACACTGAGACAGCAGTTACCTGGTTATGACCATGGAGACAGGAAGGAGGAGGGAAAGGAGCTTTGTCCCAAATGAAAAGAGGCTGTCAGCCTGGAAGCCGAAGTCTGACAGGAATCACAGGGGAGATAAACATGACACACCCGCTTCCCATGGCCTCATCTCTGCCCCAAGCCCGTCTTACTGCTGCCCCTTTAGGTCAGCCCCCAATTCCTCCTACCACTAGGTGGCAGTGCAACTCCATCGGACGGAGAAGACCCTCCCACCTTTAGGCTTGGTTCTTTCTACCAGAAGAGGGCCAGCTCTGAGAGTAACCCATAGGGGCACCCAGTCAGGCTGTGTGTTCGGGGTGGAGGATGCAAAGAAGCAGACATACCACGACACTGGGTTCATCTGTGACAACCTTGAGCACGTCTGTTACAGAGATGTAGCCCAAGCGCTTGGCTATTGCCAGAGGCGTGGTTCCATTCTGGGGAAAACAGCAGAGAGAGGGCGCGATCAGACAAGGGAATGGCGTCTGGGAGGACAGCTCACATTCTAACCGCTATGAGGGTTGCAGGTGGACAGATTGCACCTCGAACCCCTGCACACTTGCGAGCCCAGACATGTGCCAGACGTTAGCCAGGTATGTGAGAGAGGAGGGCAGGGATACTTTAACTCTATAGTGATGAGTGCAAGAACCTTGACACACGAGCAGGGAAATCTTGCCAGGACAAGTCAAAAACTTCCATGAGGGAGCCAACTGGGGAGAAATGAGACAGGAAGGCGCCAGGAAGATGAGGGTACAGGGCAACGCTGTTCACTGCTCTCAATGCCGGTTCTTTGGGTGTCAGTAACTGAGCAATAAGATGGTTCAAGTCATCCATATACTTCAACGAACTCCCTCAGGCCAATCGGAAACCACAAATTACCAGAAGTAGGGGAGGGATGTATTCTCTACACTCATTTTAAGAGAAAGATCAAAGTGAGAGTAAACTGATATTGAGGCTTTTTTTTTTTCCTTTTAAGTTCTCTAGTTCCAGGATGTGCCCTGGGCCCCCACAGATTCAGCCCATTCCAATTAGGCTCTCAGCAACCACATCCATGATCAAAAGTCCACACACTCTCGGAGCTGTAAGCAGCCTTAGAGATGACCTAGCACAACCCGTGCACTGTCAGGCGAGCAAGGTCACACTCAACAACGATCACCGACGTTGCTAAGGACGGCCCTGAGGCCCTGCCAGGTCACGAGCCACGCAGGGCGTTTGGTGTTGTTCACTGTACCACACTGAGAGCAGCTTCACATGTTTTAGAGAGAGTTTCAACAACTGCATGTAAGCAAAACTAAAGGGGGGAGGGTAAACGGTGCTTGAAAAGATAACCTCAGTTCACCAGAAGGAGAATCTAACCACAGCACGCCCTGGCCTGGGGGGACCCAGGCAGCTACGACTTTATGGTACAGCAGCCCGTCCAGGCCCCAGCCACGCAGTAAGGACAGACCGAGACCCTGTGGTTAAGGCTCGCAGCGCTGCCCAGGAGCACAGTTTGTCCGAAATCAGGAACCGGGTGGGCACTCACCGAGCTGACCTCGTTTGGGGAAGCACCATTTTTGAGAAGCAGTGTCACGATGTCTGTGTGTCCCTGCTGGGCCGCCTGGTGCAAGGGGCTGTATCCTAGCTGTAAGGCGAGGTAGACATTTTGGCAGGATTAGCGAGCTCCGAGAGAAAGACCTGCCCACACACCACAGCGTCTATCCGTCTTCCACGTGCAACACAAACATGCATTTTCCCCATTTCCTCCTCCAGGGTCACAGCTCAGAATTGTGGCAGAGCCCCGAGGGAGCCCAGAGTCACTCTGGCTGCATACTAATTTGGCACTTAGGAAGGGTCAATATAGGAGGCAGGTCTCAGGCGTCCCTCTACCTTGGTCTTGGCATTGACGTCTGCCTGGTGCTGTAGCAGGAACTTCACCATCTTGATGTTTCCATAATGACTGGCCACGTGGAGGGGGGTGTAACCCATCTGAAAAGCAAGAGATGAGAACGGGTGACCAGCAGGGCTTCTGGGCGTACCAAGAGCCTCTATAAGCTGTGCATTAATAAAATCCTCACAACAGAGCTGATGAAAAGAGAGCATGGCCCTGGCCGGTGGCTCTGTTGGGTGGAGTGTCATCCCGTACACCAAAATGTTGTGTCTAATCCCTGGTAGGGACGTATACAAGAAGGCAACCAATCAATGTTTCTCACATCGATGCTTCTCTCTCTCTCTCTCTCTCTCTCTCTCTCTCTCTCTTAAAAAAAACCCCCACAATGAAAACATATCTTTGGGTGAGGAGAGAGAGAGAGAGAGAGAGAGAGAGAGAGAGAGAGAGAGAATACGGATGGGGAAACCCTTTGGAAGGCTGACAGCTGCGATGAGGTGTAAGCTGTACGGCCATGGCCAGTCAGGTACCGTTGGCCTGGGAGGGAACAGGGCTCAGTGTCAGACAAGTGAAGTCTGAGATGCCAGGAGGGAGCCGAGGGGAGATTGGAGCAGGCAGCCTTAGCACTGCTGGGGCCCGGTGAAGACACCTATGAGGAGACACCTATGAGGAGTTTAAAGCCTGGGAGAGGAGCGAGGTCACCTAGGATACACGCAGAGAGAGAAAAGGGGGCCCATGTGCTGAGGCAACACAGAGGGAGACCAGAGAAGAGGACTGTGAGGGAGGGATTGCCAGGGGGTAGGAGGAAAGCAGAAGACCCGTGTTGTAGAAGCCGAGAGAGGTTCTGCTGAGGGGGTCAGCCATCAGGCCCTTTGCTGGGAAGGGGGCTTAGGTGAGTACAGTTGGAGATCACTGTGACTTGGATAAGAGCAGATATATTCGCACTAGGAAGGTGGGAAATCCCATTGCAAATTCCCCCAAAAGGCTGTCCACGTTGCTGAGCTGCAATATAATGGATTTTATAGGAACTGGTCACTGTTTGAAATGAGTGGGCTTTGGGTATTTATTCATTTGCATTTTGGCTACAAAGGAGCTTATTTTCAAGGACTCTGTTCTGCTGAATAATCCGGTGCTCCCTCCAAAGTCCGACAAGCTAAGGCCCTCTGAGCCCTGTGGTCTAAGTGTTCCTGGAGGGCCGGGGCCAGATTTCAGACACCATGTCGACACAGACCCTATGCTGAACCCCGAGTAATGATATGGCTTAGGGACCTACCAGGTCCTAACCCACAGAATAGGGTCTCTCAGGACAGGGCCCCAAAAGACTAAACTGGGCCCACAAAAGAAGCCTCAGAAATCCAGAACATCCTTGGTTTTCAAGCAGATTTCTGTTGAGGCTGCAAACAACTGGGGATAAAATAGAGTTTCTAGATTTTTCTCAGGGAAGACCTCACGTCATGTTGTTGACTGGTGTTCCTGTGGAACTTCGGGGGTGGGGTGGGGTGGGGTGGGGTTGGAGGGGTGTCACACTGTCCCTTCTTTAACACAGCTGCTTTGTGACAAAAAGGAATCGAATGCCACTTCTTCAAGCCTCCTTCTTCTACCAAACGGAAACTCTCTCCTCCTTGGTGCTTCGAGTGGCTCTCTGGGGCCTCTCTTCTCGGGAAATCACGCTAGGCTGTCCCTCTGGCCTCTGACAGTCACGCCCACACTAAGCTACAGATGCCTCGAGGCAGATTCACCGCCCGGGTGTGCACGGTTATCCTCAGTCGCTTCACAGAGCATTTTGCACACAGAGAGGTCCATAAAAGCTGAGCTGCATTCGACTGAACGCTGGAATAAAAGGCTGAATTGTCTAGTGAATCCTGGGAAGCCTGGCGTTTTGATACCAGGCTCATGTACCAGTAAGACGGGTCTTGGAATCATGATTAAACGTTCCTCTCAGTTTCTCACTATAGAGGCTCAAAGGTCTAGCAAACTTCAAAGTTCCCAACTGGAAAGTGAGGCAATGAGGATTGGTGTCTTCAAACTCCACTGCCACCCCTAGGAAGGGGCAGAGAAGAATATGTCGCTGCGTCCTTGGCGTTTCTAAGCTCCGAGGAGGTGTCAGTTCTGAAGCGTGAGGGAGGCAGGCACTGGGCAGGGCGATGGGCGCACACAGGGCAGGGGAGCCTTACCCGGGTGGGGGCGTCCACCATGACACCGTGTTTGATCAGCATGTCTGCCACTGAAACGTGGCCTTCTTGTGCCACCAGGTGGAGGGGGGTGAGTCCGCTCTGGAAAGAAAAAGAATTGTATCATCTTGTAGCCAGTAAAGAGTTCCAGGCCACAATGGAAGAGCGGAGGCCTGGGAGCTGAACCTGCTCTGCGGCCACCGACCAGCAAAGCTCCTCCAGCTCTGAGCCTGCGTATCCTTCTCTAAAACATGAGGTGGTCAAAGTCAGTCAGAGGTCAGCAACACTTTCTGTTAAGGGCCAGATCGTCAATATTTTCGGCTTGTATCTCTCTTGCAACTACCCAACCCTGCCAGTTACAGTGAGAAAGCAGGGATGGCCGACACATAAACAAATGAGGCATGTGTGTTCCAATAAAGCTTTATTAGCACAAACAAGTGGTGGGCCGGATTGGGCCAATAGGTCCCAGTTCGCTGACCTCTGAACCAGATGAGCTTCATGTACTTTCCAATTGTAACATTCCCTATTCCCAAGATTCAAGATGAACTTCAGAACCTTTCGTTTCCTTATCTAGAAGATATGGATTAGCACTGATCTATTTCAAGAGCAAAGTAAAGATCACTTGAGAAAGATGAAAACACACTGAAAAGCACGATGTGCCATTTACATGTAGCGTGTGATTAGATCACAGCCAGTGTTGCACTGTGGAAATGAAAGAGGCTCTCTTGCTGGGACTAAAAACACCGTATTCTTGGATCTCTCATCAGAGCTTTCTCATGAGGAGAGTCATGCACCAGAGATCTCGTTTGTTTTGTGCACACTCCCCAAAAATGTCAGGAAAAACATGCTTTTCTGAAGCTGTATTATGTTCATTTATCATCTAAAGAAGTAGCTCTGTGTATTGTATGAAAGGTCCCAAATAGGCCAAGTTCATAGTGACAGATGTGCCAGGGACTGGGGGGTTTGGTAGACATGGGAAGTGACAGCTAATGGGTATGAGGTTTCCTTTTGGGGTGATAACAATGTTCTTAAATTAGATAGTGGTGATGGCTGCCCAATTCTACAACTATACCAAAAGCCACTGAAGAGTACAATTCAAAAGGGTGAATTTTACAGGCTGTGAATTAGAGTTCAATGAAACTATTTTTAAAAAGAAGTGACTCTTAGTCTTTCTCGGGTCATGCATCCCTTGGAGAGGCCAAGGAAAACCATGAACACTTTATCCAGAAAAATGCTCACAGGCCCATCCTCCCAAAATGTTGTGTACACATTTGAAAGGTTTCAGACTCATATGCTAGTAATCCCTGGATTGAGAACTCCTATTTTCATGCATAGATTGGCATTTAAAAGCATATCCTCCCTACTGAAAAAGAATAGTTAGTACCAAATTACTAAATACATTCCTGAATGCAATACTGGCCTATGTTTGGGAATGTGTATTGTGGATTTTATTATTGACCTTTTTGCTGATTCTTGAACTCATCTATTTAAAAGGAGTCAGCAAAGGTGTTGGCTCGGGGTCATGCAACCTTGGGAATATGCAACCTCTCTGAATCCGTTTTTTTTTTCCCCACTTATAAAACTGAGATAAAAGCTACAAAGGGCTGTTGTAAGGATTGCGCGCGCGCACACACACACACACGCACACATACACATACACACCACCTAATTCAGAACCTGGGCCCCAGGGGGTGCCCGATATTCAGACATAATGTCCAGCTAGCTAACACTAAACCATGACTGAGATCCCAGGGCCAGCCGGAAGGCACCCTGTTTACCTTGTTCCCCAGGTTGCCGTTGGCTTGTCTGGAGAGTAGCAGGGCCACCATCTCCGCATGACCATCCTGGGCAGCCAGGTGAAGGGGTGTCACGCCCTGCACCGACTCTGCGTTCGGGGACGCCCCGTACTGCAGCAGATTGCGGGCCACCTCCATCTGGTTCTGCTTGGCAGCGATGTGCAAAGGGGTGTAGCCATTCTGAAACACAAGAATGGTTCCAGGGATGCTGAGCAGACGACGTGAGCACCTGCCTCACATTTAATCCTCTAGGGGGCGGGGGGGTTAGGCCTGGACCTTGGCTGGCTGGACACCCTCCCTCCGAGCAGGGCAGGTGTCACCCAGGAGGGCAACTTCAGGAAACAAACGAACCAAGTCTATGTGATTTGGAGCCGGTGAAGTCCTGCGCCTTTTCTCACCCCCTATTTCCTCTATCAGGCCCTGATAAACGGCTGTGCAGGGAGTGCTCTCACTAACAGATGCTGGGGTGCAAGTAGGCTGCCTATGGAACCCCGAGAAAACTAGGTAAGTGAGAAAATACAAGGCTCCCTCTCCCTCCTTCCTGCTTTAAGAACAAGCCCCCAACATTTCATAAAGGAAAAGCAGCAGAGCCCTTCTTTCCCTGTGCGCTGGGCTTGCCGGCTTCAGGCAGGTGGAGGAAGAGGACAGGCGCCTGGCAAGGGACTTGGAGACGCGGAGTCGGTTCTGTTCCGCTCTGACTAGCCGTGCAATGCATGCAAGCCCTTCAGCAACGTCTAGACTTCCGTTTGTATTTTTTAAGCCATGAAAGGTGGATAATAACATCTACCTTGTTCTCAAAGTTGTTGAATAGATCAAATACAATAATATTTGAAGGCACGTTCCAAAATTAAGATATAAGAGTAATTTCCCAACTGGCACGGCTCAGTAGTTGAGCATCCACTTATGATCCAGGAGGTCACGGTTCGATTCCTGGTCAGGGCACAGGCCAGGGTTGCGGGCTCCATCCCCAGTGTGGGGCGTGCAGAAAGTAGCCAATGATTCTCTCTCATCATTGATGTTTCTGCCTCTCTCTCCCTCTCCCTTCCTCTCTGAAATCAATAAAAATATATATATTTTAAAAAGATGTAAGAGTAATAAAGCTCGGTATGGCCCATAAGATGTGTTTAGTCCATGATGAGATAAAGGAGCTGACCCCAAAGTCAGCTTTGTCAGCTTATTCAGCCGGCTTTTCTTTTTGGTGGTAGGACTTTCTCAGTGAAGGAAGCAGTGCATAGATTTACGTTCAGGAGTAGGCACCTCACCCCACTGCGGACAGGTGGCCATGACTTTGGTCGTCACCGTCACCATGGAGACCACTTTCACTTACATCGTCCCTCTTGAGCGTCACTGCCACCATGTAGGCCTTTTGGTTATTTCCTCACTTTGTGGATAAATAAGCCAGTTCTCTGAGAGGCCAAGTGGCTTATCCGATGTCACCTAGCAAATGGAATAGCAGCTGGCCCGAGCCTGGCCTTCTGACTCCAGATCCCAGCTTCTTCCAGAGGGCGCTGCGCTTCTAACGCTTCAGTGTGTCTGAGAGCACTCGGGGGTCTTGTTAAAATGCGGATCCTGACCCAGAAGCTCTAGGGAGACCCAAGATTCTGTGTTCCTAACAAGCTCCCCGGTGATGCTGATGCCGATGGTCCGAGAGCCACACTTTGAGGATCATGGTCCCAAAGCACTCAGGGCCCATGGGGATGCCAGGCCTGAGGGCCTCGGAGCAGGACCATGACTGCGTAAGCACATGTCCACCCAGCCCCAGAGCAGATGGCATAAGGCATATGGGCCCCCCACCCTGGCCAGCATGCTTCACGCTGTCCCAGAGAACGGAGTCTCTCCTGCCAGCCACGGTCTTACTGGGAAAACCAACATTTCTGATTCTGCCAGGATCACTGATGAGAAAATAAGAAAAATGGGGTGGTGGTGGGGGTGGGGTGGCTGAACAATACAGTTTTATAGCACTGGGGGTCAGGGGCAGAGCCATCTGCCAAGTGGGTTTTTGTGGAGAAATGAAAAGTTGTAACTTACCCCCCAAATGAAATTGAATTAAAAAAATCATTCCCTTTAAATAATTATGTAAGATAATTCATTGGAGTGTTTCTCCTTTTTAATTTGATTATGTTACGAGAAAACATTAAATTCTTCTTTGTAGGTTGTTTTCCCATAACAAGATGGCATTTTGATGATAATAAAGGTAATTACACAAAATGAATTTTGTATTATATCAAAAGAGAGCGAAGAAAAGAGCTGTGGTTCAGTGGATCAAGCCTGAGCTCTGGAGCCATCCCTAAACGGAGATCACTCTCTCTCTCAGAGGAGTGTCGGGGAATGTCTGCTCAGTGCAGCTGTCAGGGTGAGCTGGGAGGAGGCAGCTGCACACCTAGCTGGGTGCCCGGCCCACAGCAGGCAGTCACTACATAAAAGCAACGACTACTAGGACTTCTGTTCATGTACAGAGGACAGTGACTGGAACAATTTGAAGTATATTCATGAAAGTATGTTAGGAGTCCCAGGCTCCTGGGCAGCTGTGATGTCACACTGGCAAGGACAGTACCCTGTCCCGCCAAAAGGGCCAGCGGGCCCTGGAGGTGGCTCTGGCTGCCAGGTGACCGAGGTTACAGCTGAGCTACCACTGTCCATCTCAAAACAGGGACCGCCACTCTGAGCTTTCCCGAAACCAGGACTGAAGGGAGTGAATGACCTGTAGGTGACAAGGACAAGGAGGAAGGAGGCAGGAGAGTCAGGGAGAGGTTAGGGAGGGCCAGGTGCCAGTCCAAGGCTCTGCTTTCCCCAGGAAATGAGCTCATCCCAAGGCACGCCCCGCTGGAGAGAGAGCTGCCGAAATGTTAGAACAACATTAGCATCAAAATTAGAAAGGGGAGGGTTTGGTTTGGGTGCAGAGAGATTTGCATGAGAAATTCTACAAAATTGCCAGACGACTTGGTAAACTATTTTTTGCCATGGAAACAAAACCCATCTGTACAGTGTTCGTGCCTGGATAAATCTCTCTTTAAATACCATGAACCTGGCCCTGGTTTCTTTGCTAGAAGGAGGGGGTGGAAGGAGGAGGGGAGCCCAGCTTGTTATTTTTAGATGCAGGAGTAAGTCACATCAGAGCAGGGCCGCATGCTCTGTCTACACAGTGACGTGGGCTTTGCTACAACAGCGGCGGGGACGGGAGCCCAAGGAGACAGGGGCACCTGGGAGACACTGTCTGCAGGACAGGGAGGCTGTAAAACTCAGAGGAGCATCCATTCTGAAGAGGGAAGACAAACGGAACTGATTGTCCCTGACTGCCCTGCGTCCCCAGGTGTCAGCTGGACCCGCACACCAGCGCACCTGACAGCTCCCTCCTCAGAGGCAGCCTGCACACTCCTGCTGCTGGGCTGAGCACTGGGGTTTGCTTCCCCAGAAATTATCCTTCCGAGTCTTGGCCGCCCTATCGGATGGCGGGTGGTGAGCTCCAGAACGCAGGGACTGCCTGAGTCCTGACCCAAGCCCTGCTCCCTCTCCTGGTCCCTCCTCCTAGTGTGGCCACCAGCCCCACAGCGACCCTCTCGTCCCACAGGGGGCAGCCTGTCCCCAAAAGTGATCCTCTGTCCAGCTTCCTCCCAACACCTTGCATCACCCCCACCCCCACCCGCCAGTCTGGTCTTACATAAGCCAGCCCCGCCAGTCTGGTCTTACATAAGCCAGCCTGTCAGCTCCCTTTCCTCCGTTCCCTTAGGTGGCCATGAGGCTGCTGCCCTGAGCAGGCGCTGCAGAGGCTGCAGGAGGCCGGCACACTGGACATGTGTCTACATGTGACATCCATGGCTGTGCCTCGTTCAAAACCACCACAACCTGAAAGTCTGAACTCACAAGAGGAATAGATTTGGGGGGAGGAGGGGGTGTGAATATTCACATTCAAAATAGGTCCCTTTTGTCAAGGTTCCGGCAAGTTCACTCACAGCCCCGCGTATTTCTCAATGTGCAGTCACTGCGCTGGAACGAGACTGACGGAGACGGGCCACACGTGGAGACGCCTGTGCGTGCTGACCTTGGGTGGCCCACGTGCAAAACTCAGCTGACACTGGCGCTTCGGGGACACGTTATTGTGTGAAAAGAATCCACCTCTGTGAGGTAACCTGAGGCTACGAAGTGTTACCCACTTCCCACCCACTCCTGGTCCCCAAACAGTGGCAAACATACTGCAGGGGAGAGCTGAGCTGAGACAGTGAGGCGAGATTTCTGAGGCAAAATAAAAGCAAACACCAGAGCCCTTTGGCTGCTTCTGGAACAGCCCTCCCGGGAGGAAGCAGGCAGCTGCTCTCCGGGCTCCTGCTGGGGATCGGGGAGGCTTACCAAAGCAGGACTGTGTGGGGAGCCGCCCCGCGGCAGCAGCAGCTTGACGATGTCCAGGTGGTTGTGGTGGACGGCCATGTGCAGGGGAGTCAGGCCGTACTGCAGGAGGGAAGGGGGAAACGACAGAGAGAACAGCCTTCACTCAGCGGACTTCCTTCTCAGAGATCCCTTTAGCTATAGCAGCACCATTCTGGGGTCCACGTCACTTCTTTTACGCAGGTAAAATCTGGTTAAAATCATTCCAGAATGCCCTGGCTGGGTTGCTCAGTGGTTAGAGAATTGGCCCATGGACCAAAGGATTGTAGGTTTGATTGCCGGTCCAGGGCACATACCTGGGTCAGGGCGTGTGTGGGAGGCAACCAATCAGTGTGTCTCTCTCTTTCTCTTTCCTTCCCTCCCTCCCACCCCCTCTCTCTAAAAAAAAAAAAAAAAAAAAAAAAAAAAAAAAAAAAAAAAATCAATGGGGCAAATAAAATCCTCCTGTGAGGATTAACAACAACAACAACAAAACCATTCCAGAAACAATCTTGATCAGAAGTCACTAAGGGCACAAGCAGCCGGACCAGGGCCACCTCCTCCCTCCTGCTGGGCCCGATGGGGCAGCGCCATCAGCACAGTGGCTCAGAGAAGGCCACCGGGTCTTTCCAGAAGGTCAAGGCCTTTGGCGGAAAGACCAGTCTTCCTGAAGGTCATTCTCTCTGATAGCTGCCCACTGAGAAGATGGATAAAACGGGCGCAGGCAGGTCACGCCCTTCACAAGCAGTGAGTTCACCTTTTGCTCAGGCTTCTAACCCGAGAGGGGGAGGCGAGGGCACACTCACCTTCCCGGCGGCGTTGGGGTGTGCGTCCCGCTCCAGCAGCACCTCTGCCACCCGAGCCCTCCCGTACTTGGCCGCCACATGGAGAGGGGTAAATCCTTTCTGAGGAGAAACACAGGCTGTCAGAGCCACGGGAGCCACAGGCGTCCGCCCTGGAGCAAGGGCCGGGGCAGAGGAGGTGTCCCGCCTTAGCAAGCGTGGAGACTCCCGTCAAATAACGGACCGGAATTCCTGATCCTTCCGAGAGGCCGCAGGAATCAGCAGGTTTCCTCCCCCACCCCGGCCCCCCTTCTCGTGGTGAGCAGAAAACCATCTTTCATTGTGATTCGACCATTAGCTCGTTGAAGGCAGGGGTTGAGTCTTACTCCTTCTAATATCCCAGAACCTGCTGGTTTGTCTAGAGCAGGTGCTGAGCCAATAGCGATTCCGAGATAAATGGATGAAGGCTGAATGGGTGAACGGGAAACTACAGTCCACCGCCTTTCTGGGAGAGAACCAGGACATATCAGGCTCCCAAATGGCGGCCAGTCCTGTGGGGTGCTGTTCCCCCCCTCCCCCTGCTTTCAGCACAATTAAGGCAACACAGAGGATCAGGTGGGAATGCCCTCCCTTGCCCCCAGGCCCAGCAGTGAGTGGCCGAGGTAGTCGCTGCTAGAGAACAGGAGGAGGCGGCTGTACCTTGGTCATGCATGCCTGGGACGCTTCCTTTTCCAGCAGGGCCAGAGCCGTTTCCACGTGGCCCTCTCGAGCTGCAATGTGCAGGGGGGTGTGCCCGGCAGTGGTGGTCAGGTTGGGGTTGGCACTGTTTTCTAGCAGGAGCTTCACCATGTTTGTATGGCCGATGCGAGCTGCACAGTGAAGTGGGGTCTGGTCATCCTGGAACCCGGAGTGGAAAAGAAGAAGAGGGGCTACTAAGGTCAACTAATCCAGAGCTTCATCTTACAAAGAAGGGAGGTGATGCCCAGAGAGTTACGTGGCTTTCTCAAGGGCACACAGCTAGTTACATAAAGAGGCGGCATTCAAATCACATCTCTGAGTTACAGAAACCAATATGCTATGTCTTATTCAATCCTTACAACAACCTCTTAAGTGAGTAACTATTTCTACCTAGTTGCCCAAAGGCTCAGCCTTCCCATCTGTGAAGTGGGAATAATAATATCAACCTCCTAGGACAGTGATGGCGAACCTATGACACGCGTGTCAGAGGTGACACGCGAACTCATTTTTTTGGTTGATTTTTCTTTGTTAAATGGCATTTAAATATATAAAGTAAATATCAAAAATAAAGTCTTTGTTTTACTATGGTTGCAAATATCAAAAAATTTCTATATGTGACACGGCACCAGAGTTAAGTTAGGGTTTTTCAAAATGCTGACATGCCAAGCTCAAAAGGTTCGCCATCACTGTCCTAGGACTATGGCTAGGATCAAGCAGAGAGTGTGGATAACATGTTTCACACAGTGTTTGGTAGGTGATACGCTCTCAACAAGTTGTAGTGGTGATTACCGCGTTCAGCCCAATCTGAGTGGACACTACATTTACCTCTTTGACGCTGCTTTGGGTTTCTCTATGCCAAGGGTCATTAGAGTCTACACTGC